GAGGAGGCATGTCAGCGATAATGCAAGATTTGCCAGCAACGGGATACTGTGGGGTCTAGTATGGAAGTCTGCACTATCCTCACAATATTTCTGTAAATCTTTTTTTTTTTTTTTTTTTTTTTTTTTTTGAGACGGAGTCTCGCTCTGTCTCCCAGGCTGGAGTGCAGTGGCATGATCTCAGCTCACTGCAAGCTCCGCCTCCCAGGTTCACGCCATTCTCCTGCCTCAGCCTCCCGAGTAGCTGGGACTACAGGCACCCACCACCACGCCCAACTACTTTTTTGAAGTTTTTTAGTAGAGACAGGGTTTCACCGTGTTCGCCAGGATGGTCTCGATCTCCTGACCTCGTGATCCGCCCGCTCGGCCTCCCAAAGCTCTGGGATTACAGGCGTGAGCCACCACGCCCGGCCATTTCTGTAAATCTTACTGAGCTCAAGCAATTCTCCCACCTTGGCCTCCTGAGTAGCTGGGACTACAGGCACATGCCACCATGCTGGCAATTTTTATTTATTTATTTAAAGAAATGTGCTCTTAATACAAAAATTAGCCAGGCATGGTGGTGCACTTGTAGTTCCAGCTACTCGGGAAGCTTAGGTGGGAGAATCGCTTGAACCCAGGAAGGGAAGATAGCAGTGACCCGAGATCACACCACTGCACTCGAGCCTGGGTGACAGAGCGAGACCCTATCTCCTTTTTTTTTTTTTTTGATGGTAGCCCCCTACCCTGATGCCCAGAGCTCAGCTCTGTGGTGGCAGCTCCCGTACCTGTCCTCCATGTCCCTGCCTGAGCCCCCAGCTGCCTGTCCTGGACAGCCCAGGCCCTGGGATAGTGCTGCAGAATGAGGTTGTCAGCAGGGGTTTGGTGGAGGCCCTCAGGAGGAGAGGGGAGGGGTGCTGGCCTCCAGGGAGCCAGGCCCGGGATTTGTAGACTATGTGCACACAAGTCCAAGAGATCTCACCCCAAAGCTACACCTCCAGGGTGCCCAGAATGAGGATTGGTGGGGAGGGGCTTCAGCTTGGTCAAAGAGCTGGAAGCACCCTTGGGCTTCAAAGTCTGGGAGGAAGGAGCTGCTGGGGTTAGTAATGTATGTCAGGGAGAGGTAGGGGGGTGGCCACAGGAGGCCAGCAGCCAGGACGCTGCTTGGCCCAGGTCTCGGAGTAGTAAGGCAGGGTCAGACCCAGGGAAGGCTGTGGGAAGTAGAGGAGGATGTGGGCATTGGTGGAGGGCCGGGGGCTCACAGCGTTCTCATACTGGGGACCAGGGTCTCACGGGGGCTCGCTACTAGGCCAGGGCGTAAAAGGGGGCCTCACAGTGGGGACGGTCTCACCCTGGTGCCATCAGGGACTCACAGGAAGGGCTTCAAAGGGTGTGCGGCAAGAGCCAAGGGGCTCACCATGGGGGCTCACAGTGGGGACCACCTCTGGGAAGGGTTTCAGGGCAAGCAGGCCCAAGCCGAGGCCACCTGTCTGCAAACCTGGCTGGGCCAGCTCTGACCGGTGTCCTGGTACCTCAGGACACCAGTCAGAGCCGGACCTCCTCCCCCATCAACCTCCTGCTCATCCTGGGTCCGAATGAGGGTCCTGGGACACGGCGGAACAAGCCCCGCCCTGCCAGGTCTGTAGCACAGGGTTAGGGGCCCAGGTATTTCATTCCATCCGCAGACCCTCCCAGGGCAGGCCACGAAGCACGGGTGTTTTCTGCAGTTTAGGGAAGCCACCAGACAGGTACCCACGCACACAGTTCACCAGGTGGGACCCTGGGGCAGGCTCCTCCCCTCCCTGAAAATGATGGGACCCCAGCGCATGGCAGGCACTGTGTTGTCGTTTGTCCACTCAGTCCAAAACAGATTCCCAGTCCCACTTCCCTGGGGCTCCTGCAGGCACAGTCCCCTCCTACCCCTGCACTCCACTGCGGGGCCCTGTGTGGGGACGGTCCTCACTCAGAGGGGGTACAGTGCCTCAGGCCTCAATTTCTCCTCACCCGCAACAGGCCGTAGCCCCCTACCCTGATGCCCAGAGCTCAGCTCTGTGGTGGCAGCTCCCGTACCTGTCCTCCATGTCCCTGCCTGAGCCCCCAGCTGCCTGTCCTGGACAGCCCAGGCCCTGGGATGGTCAGCCCCAAGTGCACCCTCAGTCATGCTCCTCTGGATGCCCTGGTCCAGAGGGAGGTGCAGAGCTCGGCCCCCCAGGACCCAAGCCCCAGGCCTGGAACCCTCCCTCCACACCCACTCTGCCCCAGCAGCTCCGTGGCCGGCCTCACTGTCCTGCCTGTGCAGCTTGTAGGTCCACTGGGTGTGGGCACCAGCCATCCTCATGCATCCTTCACATGTACACACAGTGCACGCTCCTCCCTCCAACCCTCCACACATAAGCAGTGCACACTCCCACATGTACACTGCTGCCCGAGCTCAACATAGAGCTGGGCTCACACACTCACTCTCACACATAGCCATGAACCCTCCCTATTCAGACTCAGCCTCACCACGCGCCTCCTTCAGGGAGTTCCCCCCAGGCCCAGGAACGCAAGGTGCCCCCAAGACCCCAAGTGCCTGCCCACATCATGGCTCCCCTCACATGGCCTGCCACAGCTCCTAAACTGACCAGATCCCCAGGAGCCCAAGAGCACGGGTATGGTGCTCAGGAATGCCAGGGGAGTGAGGGAACACTGAGGAACATGGTGTGGGGGTATGAGTCTGTGGGGTCCCCAGCCCCTGCCAGGGCCGTGCACAGGTGCAGCTGGTGAGGCAACATCCAGGCTGGTGCCTCCTCCCCCATGGAGCCCTCTTCCCCCTCGGGTTGTTGACACTGTCAATGTGTGGGCCCTCCTGCAGCCCGTTCTCAAGTCCCCTCCCTCGGGGTCCCAAGCAGGTACAGAGCTGTCAGGCCCAGAAGTGAGGGGCTGTTCCTCCCCTGGAGGTGGACCAAGGGGTCAAGTTAGGCCTGGGTCAGGCTGGGAGTGTGTCATCACTGCAGTTTGGACAGCTCCCCCCGGCCAGCCTCCAGGGCTGTTGCAGGCCTGGAGCTGACCACACATCCTCCAGAAATGGAGCCCTGGGGGGTATGCATGGTGGGAGTGAGGGGGTGATGCTTACCCCAGCCTCCTAAGCCTGTCCCTGCTCTCCACCTGCTCCCCTCAGGGTCCACGAACCCACCTCTTCCCTCCTGAATGCCCAGCAGCCAGGAATCCTGGGCTCACTGCCATCCAGCTCCGGGATGCTCCGGGATGCATCAGCCCTGGGGTGCTCCACCCTCCCAGCAGGGTGCGGGCCTCCCACTCCTCAGCCATGCTGCCCCTTCCTTGCACTGAGGGCCTGCTCCAGCACCCCAGGGGGGGCCTCCACCCAGTTAATCACGGCACTGACGAGCACTGGGGATGGCTCCTTGACCACAGGGTCTGCTGCGCTTCAGGCCTAGGCTGGGCCCCAGTGCAAGCTTATTGGCTTGTGGTCTTCTATGAAGGAGACTGAGCAGGGCCCCAGGTCTGTCTGTGCAAGGGGCAGGCCAGCCCCCTCATGTCCAGGTGGCCGGTGAGGGTAGGAGAGTGGGCCTGGACACAATGCAGCTGGCTGGTGTTTCAGAGGCCAGCCCTACCGCTGCCTGAGGGGCCCCAGCTGCTGGGGGAGGTACTGAAGGCACCCCCCTCCCACTTGCCAGCTGTCCCAGAGCAGACCCCGCAAGTTGGTGCCCATCCTGTGGTGAAGGCAGCTGGGCCTGAAGGACACAGACACGGAGCCGGGGGCCACCCTACCATCTGCGTGGAGCAGCGGAGCCCAGGAGAGGGTGGCAGGCGCAAGGAGTGCACCCTCCTGGGGCTGGTCCTCAGGAAGCCCTCCCTCCTTCAGGGACTCAAGGTCAGGAGCACAGGGTGAGGCTATCTCCTGGGGCAACAGCCCCCAGCCCCATGAGGTACATACATGGACCCCAGCACCCTACCTTTTCCAGGCCAGAAAATTCCAGTCTCCCTCAGACCCCTTCCACCTGCTTGGATGCTGGTCCTCCCCGAGGGTGTGTGGCCGAGCCAGGGCCACCTCTCGCCACCAAGCACAATGGGGGCTGGAGGAGGGGCCCTCAAGGGCCCCATTGTTCCCCCCTCGGCCTCAGGGTCTGAATCCCTGATTGTCCTGGGGGGCAGGGCAGCGGGCAGGGCTTTCCAGGCCCAAGCAGGTCAGAGGCCAGCCCCAGCCTCCGAAGCTCAGTCCACCTGTCCTGGAGCAAGCCTCTGGGGGCTGCCCGGGCCCTCCCCTGCCCTCCTCTCCCCTCCCCTCCCCTGCCCAGCCGCCTGGGCGGCTCTGGACTGTATCCTCCGGAGGCCCCAGTCTGGGCTCTGGGCGGGGACTCTGCTCCCCGCCCCCATTTCCGGCCGGGCGCCCTGCCTGCCTCCCTCTCTCCCACCCATCTGTCTGCACCCCACCCCAGAAGCACCTCACCTAGGATCAGAACAGGGCTGGGGCTGACCCTAGGGGTGGCCAGCAGCACCACCCTGTGCCGCCTTAGACAGGCAGGCTGGGGGAGCACAGGGGAAGGAGGGAGGTGGCCTGACCAGAGGCTCCCCACACACAACACACAGCCCCTAGGGCCGCGAGGGGAGGGGCATCTGCCTCAAGGAATCCCCCATGCCTTGAGGTCTAGAACCTCCAGCTGTCAGAGCTCAGGGGCCTCTCCTGGAAGCTCTGGCCCATGCCAGATCCACAGGAGCTTGGGCACCAAGAGGCAGCCCTCAGGGCCCACCCCTGCAGCCTCAGGCTGCCCGGTGCAGCCGCTGCCTGCTCTCCACTTGCTGGCCCACCAGGCGGGTTGGGACCAGCCCTGCCACCTTCCCTGGCTGCCAGTCAAGCATGATGCTGCCTTGGGGTGGCAGCCAGGAGCCGACAGGCAGCAGATGCCTAGGCAAAGGCCACCTGGTGGTCCTCCTTGGGGCTGGTGGTTAGGGTGGGCTGCTGGAGCTCAGGGCCTGATCGGGATGGGGCCCCACCAACCTCGGGGCCACGTTCCACTCATTTATGGACTTTCTAATCCAACAGTTATTTTATTAGGATGTCAGCCCCGGGTCCAGCATGAGAGATAGGGACAGGGGACAGCCTGGTGGGGCTGGGTCGGGGGTCACCCCAGGATGTTCCAACCACAGGGGCAGCATCCCCTCCACTCCATGTGCTGGCCAAGGGCACAGAGCTGCTGTTATCACCTGCCAAGGGGGCAGCTCAGTGCTGCTGCCCTGGTCCTGTATGGGCCTGGGGTGCCGAGAACAGAGAGCAAGCCTCAGGCGCCGGTCCTTTGAGCTTTCTTGATTTCCTGCCAGTGAGGAAGAAAGAGAGTTGGGAGGGCTGGTATCCAGGAAGGGCTGGGCTTCCTGCTCTCCCTCCACAGTGGACCTCGGTGTCTCATGCCAGTGCTTGGGTAGGACTGTCCCATCTGACCTCAGTGGCCTCCTGGACAACAAAGGCCTGGCCCCAAGGCCTCCCCTTGGGCCTTGCCCAGGTAGGCACAAGGATGGGCCCACCTCAGAGAGCGCCTCCTTCAGCTCCGCGTAGGCCTGGTCCAGACTGTCGTTGATGATGACCACATCAAAAAGGCCGGGCTCCTTGCCTGTGGGTGGGGCCTGGGGTCAGGGCACAGTGAGCCCATGCAGCCCCACCCCAAGTCCCACACGACCCCCAGAACAGCCCACTGGCTTGCGGCTGTCCTCGCTGTGGCTGTGGGACAGCTTTCCAGCCCAGCTGGGCCTGTGCAGGGTAGGGAAGGGCCGCCCCCTGGGACTCGGTCCTCAGGTACCCCTCCTGCTCTCTCTGGAGCCCCAAACCTTGGGTCTGGACACCAGCACCCATCAGGACTCTGGTTAGGGGTTGCAGTGTCCTCTATACACACAGTAGAACATTAAATGCCCTCTTCCTGTGGGCTGCAGTCAGACCCAGAGGGGAAGTGACAGCTGTAAGAGGATGTACATGACACCCCCGGGGCTAGAAGGTAGGAGACATCTCATGGGACCCTGGGTGATGGGGGGTCTGGGGGCCCTCACGGAGACTCTAGGTAACAGAAGGAAATCTGAGAACCCTCAATGAGACCCTTGGTGACTGGGGTGAGTTCTGGGGACACTCACGGGGACTCTAGGTGTTGGGAGGTAGTTGGGAGGTCTGAGGACCCTCACAGGGACTCTGGATGTCAGGAGGTCTGGGGACCCACAGGGTCCCTGGTGCCAAAGGTCTCACAACCCCGACTCCCCTCCTGGCATGCCCTGGTAGTCCCACGGCACACTCACTGCTCTCCATGTCGGCCCGGGCAGCAGCCAGCCGCTTCGCCAGGCTCTCCTCCGTTTCAGTGTTGCGCTGCCGCAGCCGCTGCTCCTAAAAAGGGGGTGGCAGTCAGAGCCTGGCATGCCCTGACCCCCAGCCCCCAACCCTGCCCAGCACACACCAGCACATGCAGTGAGGGCGGCTGCACAGAGATGTAGATGGGCCGCAGATCGGTGGCCTTGATGTTCCGCACACCCTGCAGGTCCACGTCCAGCACGCAGATGCGGTTCATGGCCTGCACGGCCTGCACCGCCGCCTTGCTGGAGGCAGGTGCCAGGTCAGCAGGGGTGCCAGGGCTCTCCGAGGCCTACAGGAGCTTCAGGGACACCCAGGTCCTCCCAGGCGCAGCAGTCTCCTCCCACAGCTAAGCCTAGGCCTGGCGTGAACCCAGCACCCCACAGCACCTCAAACCTGCTACCCCCACACCCTGCCCCACCTACAGGGAACACAGGCCACCCACTCTCCAAGGTGCCTGTAGTAAGCACGAGGTGTCCTGTGCACCCTTCACCCTGCCAGGACAACGCATGGTGGCAGGACCGGGCCCAGCAGTCTCGTGAAAGAGCCACCACAGGGCCACGGACCTGGGAGCCTGGCCCTGGGCCACAACCTGGCCACATTCATAACCATGGGGCGGGTGGTGTGGATGGCGGGCAGGCAGCAGGCACTACCTGAACCCCTGCCGCCCACAGCAATCCCGGGAGCCCACCGGCACCCACGCGTGGCCCACCTCGTGCCATACAGGTTCCCTGAGAACTCGGCATGCTCAATGAAGTCACCGGCTGCTATGTCACGCTGCATCACCTCCCTGGTTACAAAGTAGTAATCTGGGGAAGAGGAGGGGCAGTCCAGAGGGCAGACTGGACCTGCACCAGGGCTTCCAGGGCCAGCTGCCCCCAACCCAGGCATGCCTGCAGGCCCCTCCCACGCCCACGACTGCTTGGGTCAGATCCTTGCCGGGCAGGAGACGTCTGAGGACCCCTCAAGTGCTGCCAAGTGCTTGAGCCAGACACCATTTCTCACACTGTCCTCACTGATGGAGATACGAGACTGGGTTCCAGCGGGGGAATTGGGAGTTGGTGGTCGGGGGAGTGGGGACTGGAGATCAACAGGTGCTGGGGGAAGGTGGTGGGGGAACTGGTGACCATCAGGTTACAGAGGGGATGATGTGGTGGGGTGACTGGAGACCACTGGGTTGCACATTACGGGGCAGGGGTGCTGTTGGGAAGGGGGTCCCTTGTCTTGAATCAGGCAGGCAGAGTAGCCCTTTTTACCAGGACCCCAGAAGACAGCTCAAAAGTGCTGATAAGCCCAGGACAGGGCTGGGGACAGCAGCACTGTGGCCGCCTCCAGGGTGGGAGGAAGACAGCCCCAGGCCTTGGCCGGCCTCTCACACTGTACCCAAGGAAGGCGACACCGCACTGTGACACTGACACCCTGATTTAGCTCACTGGCTCTTGGAGGCAAGGACCCATCTCACAGATGAGGGATCAACGGGGGCAGAAGATGGGCAGCACAGCCAACACAGCTGTAGGGCCCAGTAGCCCTGCTTACACTGGGGGTGCTCCAGCCACAGGGCCCCACCCCACTCACCTTTGCCGTTCTCCTCGCCAGGCCTCGGGTTCCTTGTGGTATCTAGCAGAGAGACCTGTCACCCATCAGGGACTGCTCAGAGCGCACTGCCCCACCCAGCGTTCCCCTTGCAGTCCCGACAGCACTTGAGCCCCAGGATGCAGGCAGCCAGTGGAGCACACAGCTGGGAAGGCGCAGGAGTCTACAAGGCGAGGGTTCTCCCAGAAAGAGACACTGCGGCCCAGTTATCAGCACTCAACAGACCCAGGGAAGGCAGACACAGGCACTCGGGACAGCAGGAGTGCAATAACCTCAGGTTCTGTGTGGTAGGAAGTGGGCAAGAGTGGGGACAGTCTGCAGGGTGAGTGTGCCTGTTGGGTTCAGGCTCCTGGCCTGCTCACAGGCTGCTGGGACTACTCAGCAGCCTTGAGGTCTACGCATCCCCCCGCAAGAGCCCTGGACTCACGGGACACGCTGAAGCCAAAGATGCCGCTGTGCTCCTGGAGCAGCCTCTTCAGCAGGGTGCTCTTCCCAGCTCCCGAAGGCCCGCTCAGCACCACAGGCCTGGGGCCCGACATGCCTGGGGGTGAGAGGAGAGGCTGTGGATAGCAGTGTGGCCTCTGGCCCCCACCTGCTGAGCTGCCTCTGCCTTCCTGAATTCATGGCAGGAAAGGGCTGACCCAGGGATGGAGACATTGGCCTGAGAGTCTCCTGAGAGCCTGGGTGTTCTTCCCCCTGATCTCTGTCACATTGGAAGGCCCAGCATGCACAGAGTGGCCCTCAGACCAGGATCTGGGCACACGAGAGACGAATGGAAGGCCAACTTTAGTGGGTTCTCAGCAGGGGAGGCCCCCCCACTGAAATCCACCACCACTGAACCCACTGACTCTGTCAGCCTCCCCAGGGGTCCCTGGTAAGCGATGCTGTCTACTCTGATCACACCCTACCCAGGAGCTACCGTCCCCACCTGGTGGAGTCACCTCCAAGCCCTCTGGGAGCCTGCCCTGAGACCCCCACCCCACCCAGGAGCCCAGCCATTTGCTCCCATGCATGATGCTGAGTGCTGGGCTGCTAGGTCTGGAATGGAAATGTCACTGTCCCGCCTCTATCCTCTGGCACCATACCCTGCAGATATGGCCTTGTCAAGATCTGCTGAATCTATGCCCATTCCAGGAACTTCTCATCGGACTTGGGACTCCTATCTGTGATGCTGGTAATGCCAGGACGGGGTTGGAGGTCTCCCTCCCAGCCTCCAAGGGGACGGCAAACAGGATCCTAGCTTGGACACTTGTGGCAGGTGAGGGCCCGGGAGCTGGCCTTTGCTTGGTGGGAATCCTCCCCAGGAACAGCGCCTACCTGTTTGCTGGGGTGCAGCCTCTGTGGCCAGCCTGGGGCGGGTCTGTCTGCTGGACTGAGAGCTGAGGGAGCTAAGTCCCTAATCCCCACCATGCCTGCTTCTGGCCCCGCCCTTCTAAGCCAGGAATAAATCCCCAGGAGGCCTGGCCTTCGGCCCTTGCAGGGAAGCAGCCCTGTCCACCTGCTCTGAGGCTGTTCAGGAAGGAAAAGACGGCTCCAGCTCCTGTCCCAAGACCTGCACCTGCCCTGACCGCCCAGTCCACGTGAGCTGCACACAGGGCCAGGGCAGTGTCTTCGAGTTGGGGTGGAGAGCAGAGCTGAGGAGTGGTGCCATGCACTGCAGCTGTGTTCAGGGACGGGGGCAGAGGGAAGTGGACAGACCCCTGGCGACGCGCAAACCTTGGACACAACTCAGGCAAGGCGTGGATGGCCTCCTCCTGTTTGGGGCACAGTCGCCTGTGGGCAGACGAGCAGACAGCGGGAAGGACCTGAGGATGCCCTCCTAATCCCCAATTTAGGCCACCGAGGTAATCTCACAAATGCATCACAGCTGCAACTCCATCATGCACAGGGACACCCACCACACACACATGCCACTCCCAAGCGCAAAGGTATGCAGGATGTGTCCACAAGCCTACCAAAAACACACACACATGCATGCACACACAGCACACACATGCACACAAATGCACACACACCACACATGTGTACCCACACAGGCACACATGCACACGCATACATGTCACTGATCACAAACACCCCAGACCCCCAGTTAAAAAGATTCAGGAGGAAGGGAACTGCAGGGTACCCACCCAGAAGTCCATGTGCTCTCCGTAAGGGATAGACTCCTCCCTCCTTACTGCCTCTTCTGGGCTTTTTGTCACAAGCACATGTCGTTTTCATCTCAGCATGCCCTCCATGCCCTCCTGGCTCTCCCATCCACAGAACTTGCTCCTGCGCTTAGCTCAGGCCTCTCCAGCCCTGCCATCTCCTCTATGTGCCAGCCAACCATCAGCATGCACCACAGTGGCCAGGGTTCTTCATCCATTCAGCTTCTCCCAGTCAGTGAGCCCTGCGACCCCCACAGCCTGGTTCCCATAATACACTAGCTAGGAGCCCCCCAGAGTCTCCCACAATCAATGAGCCATGCCACTTGCATGAATTTCTGGAGCCCCTGCTTCTCGCCAGGGTGGAAGGGGTGCAGTTCTCAGGACACATCCAGCAATAGCTACACACCTACTTGAAGCATCACGATCACAGAAATTAAGACTTGATGATCTTATGGTGACTTTTCCAATACGAAGGAGAAAAAGTTAAGCTAGATCATGCGCTTCAAAGAACCTGATATGGGAGCACTACTCAGACGGTCCTGTGGGCTGGATCCCATGTGAGCTTCTGCCCTGTTGCTCCAGAGCTGGCCCTTCTTAAGGTCACTCCGCCCTGCCAACCCACAGCCAGCATGGCACTGGTGGGCCCAACAGGGCTACCCCGAGGCTGGTCCTGCCCTGTTTCCCCCAGCCCCTGGCTCCAAGCTTTTCGGGTCTGAACCTAGATGCTACATGACTACAAATCCACACGGAAGGAAACACAGCGGTGACCTCCACTGACCAGGCCTCCCCTCCTTCCTCCTGAGGGAGCACTAAGCTACCAAGATGAGGCTGGACACACAGGCAGAAGATACCAGTTCGCCCAGCTGCTGCCAGGCAGGGGTCCAGGCTCCAGCCTCGCCAAGGGCGTTGTCTGTGCAGCTGTGCCCACTCTCACCCAGCACAGGGCACGAGGCACACACGATACACCAATTGCCAAGAACTCTGGGCGGGCCAACACTCTGCTCTTCCTGGGTCCCCTGAGTTCGGCTCTGCCCAAGCGTGAGGGCACAATGAGCAGACTACTGGGGGCCCTGGCCAGCCAGAGAGTGCAGAGGGCAGACAGTGAGTGGATGCGGGCCTTGCAGAAGCACAGCCACACCACCACTGGAGACAAGGTGGGGGCACAGGATGCCTGCCTGGGGAGAGACCAGTGGCACAGCGGACACCAAAGCCACCTTTCACGGAGCACAACCAAGGGAGAAAATTGTGGCCCAGGCTTCATGGCTCCTACAATCTTGGGGTGGAAACCACAGAACCTGACTGTGCCCTGACCAGAATACACATGCCAAAGGTGTCTTCCTGTGGGCAGAGAGAAGCATTCCAGCAAACAACATTCTGTGTTCTCCACTCTCACCAACCCACAGTCGCAAACCCCAGTCAGCTGCCTGGCAAGAAGCCACACAACCCACAACTGTAAGGACCTGCCAGGCATGTGGTCTCCACAGGAGCTCCGAGATGGAAGGTCTCCTGGGAGCCGCCGGCGCAGATCCACGTTCCGGAATGATCTCTGCCAGAACGCTCCCTGGACTGGGCTCCCATGCTGCCCCAGCAGCCGCTTTCCTGGAAAGGCACTTCCTGCCCTGGCGGCAGAATCTCCTCCTTCCGGCTTCCAACCATCCTAAGGACTGAACAGAGTCACAACCTTGCCCTCTGCCCACTGTTCCAGGAGATGCTAATAGAGGGCTCAACCTTCTGAGAACCGAGAGAAGCCAGCCCCTGCCTGGCCTCTCATAAGACACAATCCCACGTGGGCCTGGGCTCTGGGCTGGGTCGGCTGGATGAAGGGGAAGTTGGTGGTCCAGGCGGCTGCTCTTGGATGCAGGGTCTCTGGGCACACATCCGGGTAGCACGCGTCCTAGCCTTCAGCAATCTCGTTTTAAATGGGACCACACCAGGATCAGCCAGGGCGCTTTCGTTTTCACTTTCTTTCCCCCAGGGGGACAGGGACATTCCTTTACCTCCTGGGGAAACCGGGCCCTTCCAGAGCCACAGACGCGTGAAAACCCCAGACCTTCACGATGCTGCGCGGCTATGTTTGAGTCTGTCCATCAGGGAGAAAGAAAAACAGGCCGAGTCTTGCACAGGGTCCTCGACAGCAACCCCGGGCAAAGGGCAGAGCAAGCCTGAGACAGGAAGGGGCCATGAGCCCAGGGACAGCAGAGCAGGACCCAGCCCGGGGTACCAGAACTGGCCTCTTTCAAGCAGAGGCGAAACCGAGGCCCACCACATGCAGGGTCAAAATCAACTTTAAGGCACCTGCTTCCCACACCAGTCCTTACTGGGGCATACTTCTAAGGCGACGCTCAAGAATGGCAGCTGGGCAGCTTCAAGAACCCCAACCCAGACTCTGGCCTTGGGAGAATCCAAACCCCAAATGCCACACTCATGCGTCGGGAGGAAGGTCTGCAGCTTCCCCAAGTCCCTATCTCTGCGCCGTGCCGCGGGGCAGGCAGAATCCTGGGAGCCCCGGAATAGCCAGCTCCATCCGCCCAGGACCCCCGGGTTTGCAGGGTAAGGTGGGAACCAGAGCGCACACCGCGCCGGGCCAGCGATAGGGACTCCCGGCTGCTGTCTTTGGCGGCGTGCCCAGCTGTCGGGAAGACACCGAGCGCTCCTACGCGCCAGAGGAGCAGCTCGACACTGCGAGAACTGCCGGTCCGCTCAGCTCCTGAGGAGCGCCCCGCCCTCCGGGACAGGGGCTCCCCCACGTTGCCCGCCCGTCCGCCCTCCAGAGCTCCCCAGTTCTCAGGGTCCACAGTTGAACGTGTCACAGGGTGTCCCGGCTAGGAGCAGATCTGGAGGCGGCGTGGACTGGGCGACCGCAAAGCGCAGGGGCCGCTGCCGCCTCGGCCGCGAGTCACCCTCGCGACTGTGCTCGTCGTACTCACCGTCCGGTGGGGCCCGGCCCAGGGCTGCCGCAGCCAGCCCGGCCAGCGGGCGCCGCAGCATCTGGGACCACCTCCTCCGCTCACTGAACCTACGTCACAGCCCCGCACCGGCCCACCTCTGCACGCGCGAGAGACTGACGTCATGAGGCGCCTGCCCCGCCCATGTCTGACTCGTTCCTCCCCCGCCTCTTAGGGAAGTACTTACCTCAGTGCCGCGCTGGCCCCGCCTCCACTTGCGCCGGCCTGTCGCCAACGCAGGGGCGTTCACCACACCGCCCTCCCAGCCCGCCTCCTCCCGCTTACGTCACAGCGCGGCGCCGGCCCGCCTCCACACAGCGCGAACTAACGCCACGACCCGCCGGCCCCGCCCACGGTGTACTTGTCCCGCCCTGTCCTTCGGAGAAGTACCTCAGTGCAGCGCAGGCCGGGCTTTCATCTGCTACGTCACAGCGCTGCGCCAGCCCGCCTCCTCCCCCTTATGTCACAGCGCCGTTTTCGTCCTCCATCTACACTGCAGGGGCGTAACTAACCAACGACTCCGCCAACCCGTTCCAAGCTGGCCACTCTTCAAAAACCATTAATTGGGAAATGTGGCCTGGCGCGTGGCTTACCTCTGTGATCCGAGCTCTTTGGGAGGCCGAGGCGGGAGGATCGCGTGAGGCCAGAAGTTGGAGACCAGCCTGAGGATCATAGGGAAACCCCTTCTGTACAAAAAATTTAAAAAGTTTTTTTGTGCCTGTAGTCCTTGCTACTCGGGAGGCTGACGTGGGACAGTCGCTTGGGCCTGGGAAGTCGAGGCTGCAGTGTGCGGTGTTCGTGTCACTGCACTCCAGTCTGTGTGACAGATCGAGACCCTATTTTTTTCTTTTTTTCTTTTTTGAAACGGAGTTTCGCTTTTGTCACCCAGGCTGGAGTTCAATGGCGCCATCTCGGCTCACTGCAACCTCCGCCACCTAGATTCAAGCGATTCTCCTGCCTCAGCCTCCCGAGTAGCTGGGATTACAGGCGGCCGCCACCAGGCCCGGCTAATTTTTGTGTTTTTAGTAGAGACGGGGTTTCACCATGTTGGCCAGGCTGGTCTTGAACTCAACCTCAGGTGATCCACCAACCTTGACCTCCCAAAGTGCTGGGATTACAGGCGTGAGCCACTGCACCTGGCCATGGGACTCTATTTCTAAAAATTATTTTAAAGTTTATTTTTTTTGTTGTTTTTTTGCTTTTTTGAGACGGAGTCTCACTCTGTCTCCCAGGCTGGAGTGCAGTGGCTGGATCTCAGCTCACTGCAAGCTCCGCCTCCCGGGTTTACGCCATTCTGCCTCAGCCTCTCGAGTAGCTGGGACTACAGGCGCCCGTCACCTCGCCCGGCTAGTTTTTTGTATTTTTTTAGTAGAAACGGGGTTTCACCGTGTTAGCCAGGATGGTCTCGATCTCCTGACCTCGTGATCCGCCCGTCTTGGCCTCCCAAAGTGCTGGGATTACAGGCTTGAGCCACAGCGCCCGGCCTATTTTAAATTTTAAAAAAAGTTTTATTGAAGGCCGGGTGTGGTGGCTCACACCTGTAATGCCAGCACTTTGGGAGTCCGAGGCAGGCAGGTCACCTAAGGCCAGGAGTTTAGGACCAGCCTGGCCAACATGGTGAAACTCTCTGTGTACTAAAAATACAAGATCAGCTAGGTGTGGTGGTGTGCCCCTGTAATTCCAGCTACTGGGGAGGCTGAGGCAGGAGGATCTCTTGAACCTGGGAGGTGGAGGTTGCAGTGAGCCGAGATGGAGCCATGGCACTCCAGCCTAGAGGACAGAGTGAGACTCCGTCTCAAAAAAAAAAAAAAAAAAAAAAAAAAAAAAAAAATTGAATGTGAACTGCAGGAGGGCAAGAAAAAAAGTAAAACTTTAAAAAATACAACTTTTAAAAAATATGTTGGGGCCAGGCTGTTGTACCATGGCTCATGCCTGCAGTCCCAGCACTCTTGGAGGCTAAGGCAGATGGATCACTTGCCTAGGAGTTGGAGACCAGCCTGGGCAACATGGCAAAGCCTCGTCTCTATTTTTTAAAATACTACTAATAAAACAGTTTGTTGGACAAGGGATTGCAACCTGGAATATATGTGCTATGTCGGACCATGGGTGCTGCATTGGGGGAGGTGGGCAAGGAGAAGCTTTTTAGGCAAAAAAGGGGAAGTTCACTGTCAGAGGCAAAATTATGTCATATGTGTTCATTGGTTTCGTTGGCTTTTATTCGTGATTCATGAATTGAGGCAGCCTTCATTCTACAAAATAGAATAAAAGAATAAATAGAATAAAAGCCCTTGCCTGAATTAGCCAGGCGTGGTGGCGGGCGCCTGTAGTCCCAGCTGCTCGGGAGGCTAAGGCAGGCAAATGGTGTGAACCCGGGAGGTGGAACTTGCAGTGAGCCAAAATGCGCCACTGCGCTCCAGACTGGGCGGCAGAGCGAGACTCCATCTCAAAAAAATAAAAATGAAAACCCCCTGCCTGGGCGATATCAGAACCATGGGTTTTGTAAGGTGAGGAGAATAAGGAAACAAGGTAGAAAAATAACAGATTGGTAACCTTAGCTTACTTCAGGTTACTCTTTTGTAAGGGTTAGAGAGCAGAAGGGACTTCCTTATGCCGACTGAGGAAAAACTAATCTGTTTTGGGATTTATTTTCTTATGTGGTATTTAACATAAGTGATTTAATTTTGGTTTGGTCTGGTCTATTGGAACCTAGCGCAAGAGCTCAGTCCGAAACAATGGCCTCCCATGATTTTTTAAAAACAATTTTTACCCATTTTGATCCGGCTGTCACCTAGCTTGACCAAAACGTAAAAGTGCCTCTCTCAGTTACTATCAGTTTGGGTTTTTGATCTCAACACGTCATCACGTCATTGATAGGTTACAGTGTCTTCATGATCATGCCTTTTTTTTTTTTTTTTTTTTTTTTAGATGGAGTCTTGCCCTGTCGCCCAATGCAATAGCACAATCTCGGCTCACTGCAACCTCCGCCTTCTGGGTTCAAACAATTCTCCTGCCTCAGCCTCCCGAGCAGCTGGGATTACAGGTGCCCGCCACCATGCCCAGCTGATTTTTGTATTTTTAGTAGAGACGGAGTTTCACCATGTTGGCTAGGCTGGTCTCAAACTTCTGACCTCATGATCTGCCCTACTCAGCCACCCAAAGTGATGGGATTACAGGCGTGAGCCACCACGCCTGGCCATGATCATGCATTTCTTTGAGTTTTTGTCATTCCAGCTGAAGAGGGACCATTTGATGTTCAATGGATGCAACACTTAAAACATTTGAAAGGATACAGTGCACCAGGGAGACCACTATTGTGACTGTCAGGAGGATAATACCAAGGGTTTGGAGTATGTTCCTTAGCCAGGGTCCCCATGAACCCAACCAACGAAAACTGAATAGATCAAACTATATAAAATGGGTCTACCCATTTTAACCAAGTAGCCTGTTTGTTAATTTTTTGCAACTGAGTCTACAATACCTGATGTATTTATCCTTGTGCAACAAGATGTGCCAGAAACCACACAAGACCCCTTCGTGTTCAGCTAGTAGGTAATCTATGTAAAATTAAGGCAGGGAGTGAGAAAAAGTGGGTCTGGTTTGCTTTGGTGCCAAACAGTTGCATCAGGGATGTTGCCAAACTTACCCACTAAGTAAACTAAAGAGTCTGTTGGGTCATAAAGATCAGAGTCTGGCCTGACAGACCCAATATTTTTATCAGGTAACCCACAGAAGCTACTGGTGTGAAATTCTAACTACTGAAAGAGGTAGGCATGAGCAAGGAAAAATTGAGAGGGGCAAGAGGCTAATCCTGTTTGGATATCTGGGGAAAAGCATCACAGTGTAAAATTGTCAACTTCTGGTCCTGATTTGTAATATGACTGTCTCTGGTTATGACAACAGGTGGTTTGGTGAACTCTGTATGGTCCACACGTTGGCATGAGACTTGTCCCTTGATGTTTACATCAAGTTGTCCAGCTTAGTAGTTTTGTTCTTAAGGTGGAGAGTTGTCAACATGTATTGGAGGAAACAAGAAGAATTCAGGGTCCAGTCCATTCTGCAGGTAGATAACAAAAGCTCTAGAACAACAAACAAGGCTACAATCTAATAACAAGTGTACTATAATGTTCTTTCTTCTGAAACATACATTTTCTCTTTACAGTTGCCCCTCATTTCTACCAGAGATAATCAGAGTAAGACTAATTTGTTTGCAAAATGTTTAGCCTCATCAAATTGCTCTGCTTATTTAGAGAAGTTCAGTGAGAATAGCAATCAACCACATAGGCTCTTTTGAAGTTTGCTTGGCTGGAACTTTAGATCAGGAATCTCAGAATGAACTTTTAAAAATCTTTCAATGCTAGGAAGCCAGTGTAGACAGAATGTGTCTGTAAGTACTGCAGGCAAAGTCTGTATCTACAGTCTCAATTTCGATATCCCAGTCATAATATATCCAATATTTCCAATTGTGTCCTGTTATAAAGAGGGAAGATTCTCCTCCTCCTTCTTCCTCTCCTTTCTTCTTTCTTCCTCTCCTTCTGTCAGGGCCTCACTCTGTTGCCCAGGCTGGAGCACAGTGGTGCAATAATAGCTCCCTAGAGCCTTAACCTTCTAGCCTCAAGTGATCTTCCCTCCCATCTCAGCCTCCCAAAGTGTTGGGATTAATCCCTCACTTTTGGGAGACTGAGATGCCCAGCCAACAGCAGATTCTATTGAACATATGTAAATAATTATTTTGTCATAAAAATAAGAATCCTCATGAGTAGCTTCTAAATTCTGGAAGGATCAGGTAGGGAGAAAAAAGCAAATGTCTCCATTTTTGTTCACAAAGGTATAAGTTACCAAATTGCCTTAAGCTATAGATAGCCTAAAAGAAAATGTTTCCTTAAATCTGAAAAACGAAAGAACCAGCAATATTTTTGAATTTTAAAAAGACATAGAAACCCATAATTCGTCAGTCCATTTAGTCTCATGTGATTAATTTTTATCCTGCTTGATATTGGGTTAGTAATTTGATGAGTCTAGTTTTTCCCTTAGAGTTCTAGAAATTCTTACCCAGCCCAATGGTATGATCTTAAAATCATCAGAAACCTGTACTTGTCACAGTCTTTTCCATCTGTGGTGTCCTGATATAGAGATGTTGTCCACAGTTCCTAGGTCATAGTTCTTTGTCCACAGTTCCTAGGTCATAGTTCTAAGAACCATTGTTACAGTCTTTTGTTATAATGTTGGGTGCTTTGGGTCTCAGGAGACAGAATATCTCTGCCCTTCTCTTTCTTTTGCCCAAGGCAGGACTCTAATCTGATTGTGGATCAAAAGATCCTCATTCCAGAAAGGGCCCTTCCCCATACTCTGGAGGAAGGACGTGGAGATGTCTTGCTAGGTTTAGATCAGACTTTTTTTTTTTAATTCAATCATGTTTTGACACAGTTGTCCATGCTTCTATCATAGACAACCAATAAAGTATAGAAGGCCCACAGGGCAGGGTTTGGGGGGCATCCAGAGAGCTGAACATGTGAAGGCTGAGAGAAAGGTGAAGAAGAACTCATCCACAGGCTGGGAGGATGTTGCACCCTAACTCCATGAGGACAGAAGCTCCTGTGCTTAGGACCCTTCCAGACCTCACCTTATGCGTCTCTTCATCTCGCTGTTGATTTGTATCCTTAAAAATACCCTTTTTAATAAACCAGCAAACGTAAGTGTTATCTTAACCCAACTGCCACCGCACTGCCATCATGGACACCAGCCACGTGCAGCCTATCAAGCTGGCCAGGGTCACCAAGGTTCTGGGCAGAACCAGCTCTAAGGGACAGTGCATGCAGATGCGCATGGAATTTATGGAGGATACAAGCTGCTCCATCATCTACAATGTAAAAGGCTCCATGTGCGAGGGCTTTGTGCTCACCCTGTTGGAGTCAGAGCCAGAGGTCGGGAGGTTGCACTGATCTTGGCTGCTCGCTGGGTCTTGGATGTTGGGTTCGACCACTTGACCGGTGAGAATGGTGTGCTGCTTTCTCCTTTATTTTATTCTTGGCCTGCCACACAGGAATTCAGATGAGTCTTTAAATAAAGCGTTTGTGTTTCAAGTTAAAACAAAAATTGGCTGGGCATGGTGGCTCACGCCTATAATCCCAGCACTTTGGGAGGCCAAGGCAGGCAGATCACCTGAGGTCAGGCGTTTAAGACCAGCCTGGCCTACATGGCAAAACCTCGTCTCTACTAAAAATATAAAAGTTAGTTGGGCATGGTGGTGGGCGCCTGTGATCCCAGCTACTCAGGAGGCTGAAGCAGGAGAATCGCTTGAACCCAGGAGGCGGAGGTTGCAGTGAGCCGAGATCGTGCCACTCTACTCCAGCCTGGGCAATGGAGCAAGACTCTGTCTCAAAACAGAAACAAAAACAAAAAACAAAACGAAACAAAAAACATGTTTCCCTGAGTTCCGTGAGCCACTCTAGCAAATTAATAAAACCCAAAGAGAGGGTTGTGGCACCCCCAACTTGAAGCCAATTGGTCAGACATTCCCAAGACCTGGACTTGCAACTGGTGTCTGAGAGTGTCGGGGGCAGTCTTGAGGACTGAGCCCCAAGCCTGTGAAATCTGACACTATCTCCAGGTAGATAGTGTTAGAATTGAATTGGAGGACACCTCGCTGGTGTCTGCTGCCTGGTGTGTGGTGAAAAACCCTACACCTTTCATCACAGAAGTCTTCTGTGTTCTTCTGTGAGAACAAAGGAAAAACCCGATTTGAGAGAGTTTTTCCCAAAGCACCAAGGTTTCCATGCATCTCCTTGAAGACACAACCACTTTAGGATTATAGTTGCTTGCAAAACACTTTTAGAAAAGCATGATTGTAAACCAATTAACTGTGAACAACCAGACTTTAAATGGCCATGGGTAAAGATCTGATGAGAGTGCCTAATAATAATGTTTCAGTTGACAAGAAAATTTAATTATTTCTGTGGCATACAACAATTTAACAAAATAACCAAAATCATGGCTAACATACCGGAGTCTTAGGAATTTTATACAATTTATGAAACACATATTAATAACACGTTCATACAAAAATAATTCAAAGATGGCTTAGCATCAGTTATTTGACAATATTTCCCATATAGTTTTGTTTTGAGACAGAGTCTGGCTCTGACACCCAGTGTCACCCACTCTGTACTCTGGGTGACAGAGTACAGTGCTGCAATCTTGGCTCACTGCAACCTCCACCTACCGGGCTCAAGCAATCCTCCCACCTCAGCCTTTCGAGTAGCTGGGACCACAGTTGTGTGACACCATGCCTGGCTAATCTTTTGTTTTTTGGTAGAGATGGGGTTTCACCATGTTGCCCAGGCTGGTCTTGAACTCCTGAGCTCAAGAGATCCATCCACCATGGCCCCTCAAAGTGCTGGAATTACAGGTGTGAGCCACCATGCCTGGCCCCCATATAGTTTAATATGCCAAATGAAAATAATTGGTTTGATATATCTCTTTTGGATGTTCCAGAGGCCTTCTGGAATATCCCAAAATTAGCTTGACTCAAAAAGACTTAATTTAGAATTGGATTTTGGGAAATTTGTCAAAATGTAAAAAAGTTTAAAACACTTGATTAAAATAGGATCACAGGTCACTGTGGAATAACAGTCATTGATTTAACCAGAGTAATAAAATACTTCAAAAGGCAAATACAGGTTACAGAGTTGTCAACAAAAACTTAGGTATTTAATGTTGTGAAGACTCACTTAAATAATCAAAGACCCAGGTTGGGCATGGTGGCTCACACCTGTAATCTCAGCATTTTGGGAGGCTGAGGCGGGTGGATTTCTTGAGTTCACGAGTTTGAGACCAGCCTGGGCAACATGGTGAAACCTTATCTTGACAAAAAATACAAAAATTAGCCGGGCCTGGTGGTGTGCACCTGTAGTCCCAGCTACTTGAGAGGCTGAGGTTGGAGGATGCATGAGCCTAGGTGACGGAGGTTGCAGTGAGCCAGGATGGTGCCACTGTCCTCCAGCCTGGGCAATAGAGCCAGACATCGTCTCAAAAATAAATAACTAAATAAAAATAAAAAATAAAGACCTAATAAAAGCCAAAGCACAAAAAATTATCTTTTTTTTTTTTTTGAGATGGAGTCTGGCTCTGTTGCCCAGGCTGGAGTGCAGTGGCCGGATCTCAGCTCACTGCAAGCTCCGCCTCCCGGGTTTACGCCATTCTCCTGCCTCAGCCTCCCGAGTAGCTGGGACTACAGGCGCCTGCCACCTCGCCCGGCTAGTTTTTTTGTATTTTTTAGTAGAGACGGGGTTTCACCGTGTTCGCCAGGATGGTCTCGATCTCTTGACCTCGTGATCCGCCCGTCTCGGCCTCCCAAAGTGCTGGGATTACAAGCTTGAGCCACCGCGCCCGGCCAAAATTATCTTAATAAAACACAAAATCTTCTTTTCCCACACCAATTGAAAGGAAAAAGAATCCTTCACATTCTCAGACCAATACTCCAAGAAAACTTTGTCATCTTAACAAAGAGCAAATACTACTTTTGCACCAGTGTACTATTAATGCTATAGCTAATTTTAATAAAACCATTCAAATAAATCCATTCAATTTCAGTCAGGTTTGATAACACAAAATTTCCACAAACCATTTATAACCCCTTTGTTAAACAAAAATGTGTTCTTCATATCTTTTCCTATCAAACACATATTTTTTCCCTTGCAGACAAAGTTGTTTTCTTTCTAGTAGTTTAATCCCATATGTTATTATAACTTTTAACTGTTAGAATCTTAATTTCTAGAATACTAACAAGCATTGTGGTGAACTTATATCAGCATTCTCCATTTCATAATTTCTGGAAACAATATTTCATATTACTAGACCTAAATACACTTAGCTTCTCTATACCATATAAAAACACGATGCCAAAGTGTTTAAACTTATGCTTAGTAATTAATGTTTCAGTACGCTAACTTACTTAAGACATATGTATACCCATGTGAAGGAAGCATCTGGGTGAAGTCCATCTGCCAAACCCTGTGTGGCCCATTAGGCAGGTCAGAATGGCCAAGGGCTGTTCACACTGGTTTTCCAGGTTTGATTTCAAAGCAAGTCTGGCAGGCGAGGTAAGCCCTTTTAGCAAGTCCATTGACATGGCCCTACCAGTACTGTTTCATAAAAATGATCCTCTTTTCCACAGCCCCATGGCTCAATTCATGCACAATACTTAACAGAAATTTCATGGAGAAAAGTAAAAGTACAGGCCTTTTACTTGGTCCACACCAGAGTTCCTCTCTATCACTGAACCATCAGCCTGTATTTTTCCCATTGTGGTTTTTTTTTTTTGGCCTCTGGTGCTCGGTAATGTTCATCTTTAGTCATTGTTCTAAGATCATATCCTTTGGAAATCTTTCCAACTGGGTAACTCCATGACAGAGAATTGATTAGTAGGACTTTTTTTTTTTTTTTTTTTTTTTTGAGACGGAGTCTGGCTCTGCCACCTGGGCTGGAGTGCAATGGCCGAATCTCAGCTCACTGCAAGCTCCGCCTCCCAGGTTTACGCCATTCTCCTGTCTCAGCCTCCGGAGTACCTGGGACTACAGGCGCCCGCCACCTCGCCCGGCTAGTTTTTTTGTATTCTTTAGTAGAGATGGGGTTGCACCGTGTTAGCCAGGATGGTCTCGATCTCCTGACCTCGTGATCCACCCGTCTCGGCCTCCCAAAGTGCTGGGATTACAAGCTTGAGCCACCATGCCTGGCCAGATCAGTGGGCTCTTAAGGACAGCATTCTTAGCAACATTCTCAGCAAGGTGGTGTCCTCTAGCCTCCATGGAATCTAGTTTCAAATGGCCTGGAACCTTTATCATGGCCACAGCAGCAGGTATTTGTATTGCATATAATAAATCATAAGGTTCATTACTGAAAGTGAGGAAACCTGTTTCCACAACATTCCAAAATCATAAGCAACTCCAAATGCTTACCTGCTATCTGTACAAAGATTAGCAGATTTTCCCTTAGTGAGAAGGCAGGCTCCAGTGAGGGCAAATAGCTCCACCTGCTGGGCTCGAGTGGCTGAAGGCCAAGCGACTGCTTTCCCAACCTCAAAGCAAGTGGGCGTAGGATATTCACCGTGATCATCCTGGAAGTATGAACCATCTGTGAACCAGGATAGCTTCACATTGTCCAGGGGAGTTTTCTGTAAATCCTTTCGGGGAATCATAAGATGATCCACTGGCCGGGCGTGGTGGCTCAAGCCTGTAATCCCAGGAATTTGGGAGGCCGAGGCGGGCGGATCACAAGGTCAGGAGATCGAGACCATCCTGGCTAATACGGTGAAACCCCGTCTCTACTAAAAATACAAAAAAAATTAGCCGGATGTGGTGGCGGGTGCCTGTGGTCGCAGCTACTCAGGAGGCTGAGGCAGGAGAATGACGTGAACCTGGGAGGAAGAGCTTGCGGTGAGCTAAGATCGGGCCACTGCACTCCAGCCTGGGTGACAGAGCGAGACTCTGTCTCAAAATAAATAAATAAATAAATAAATATATAAATTAATTAATTAATAAAAGATGATCCACTAAAATTAGACAGTCATGTGGCATCTCATCCCAGAGTAGAGAGGAAGGAGAGTGGCAGGATTAGGTTTATTACAGCAAGAGAAAGTAATATGGGGAGTGGTTAACAGAAGGATCTCATAAAAGGTGAGGTGGATAGAAGAAAATGTGGCACAAAAATGGTCCAAGGAGATCCCCTGATGACTTCTTTGGTGGATTTGACCCACAGGGTGGTGGTACGGATAGCCCTCAGACAAGGAGGAGATCTGCAAGCTCCCAGGTCCCACTGTTCACTGTAGTATCATACGGGAATATGCTGATTTCCATGCTTTTAAAACTTTTTCAATTTAAATTTTCTTCAGAGACAGAGTCTCACTCTGTCACTCAGGCTGGAGTGCAGTGGCATGATCACAGCTCACTGCAGCCTTCAACTCCTAGGTTTAAGTGCTCCTTCCACCTCAGCCTCCAAGTAGGTGGGACTACAGGTGTGCTACTATGCCAGGCTAATATTTAATTTTTGTGTGTGTGGTGGGGGGGTCTCGTTATGTTGCTAAGGCTAGTCTCAAACTCCTGTCTTAAGTGATCCTTCTACCTCAGCCCCCCAACCATGGCCAGCTGCATGCTTTTCAGTTAAAACTGTCAGGGTGCTTCCTTCTTTGTCATGTACAGAAAGGAAGAATTGGGGGTTGCATCACTTCTCGGCCTTTTGGCTAAGATCAAGTGAAGAAGGGGAGTTGCCTTAGTCTCCTGTTGATGTGACTGAATACCTGAGACTGGGTAATTTATAAAGAAAAAGAATTTATTTATCACAGTTCTGGAAGCTGGGAAGTCCAAAGTCAAGGGGGCATATCTGGTGAGGGCCTTCTTGCTGGTGGGGACTCCCTGCAGAGTGCTAGGGGAGGTGGCTCAGGACATCACATGGTGAGGGGGGTGGTCTCTCTTCCTCTTATGAAGACAGCAGTCTCACTCCCAGGATAGCTCAGTAATCCATTAACCCATCAAGCCCCAAATCCATGAATAGATTAACTCATTCACGAGAGCAGAACCCTCATGATCTAATCACCTCCTAAAGGCGATACTTCCCAATACTGCTATATTGAGGATTAAGTTTCATCATGAGTTTTGGAGAAGACAAACATTCAAACCATAGCAGTTGATAATTAGGGTGTCCCAAGGCTGGGGGATTTAATAAAATTCCCTGTTTGCTTGTCAAAAGCCATATCTTCTGGGTCTTCCCAAACAATGGGGTCAGGTTTGGTGGTTTTAGCAGAGGCGTTGGGCCAGAAGAGAAGACCTGGGGATACAGCAAACCTGAGAAATCCACAGAGCTGGTGCTCAGTTCTGGATTTATAGAGAATTATAGGGATTATACGGGATCATAAAATGTCTTGTATGCAGTCTAGGTCTGAGTGTGGTCCACTTTCTGAAATTAGGTGGCCTAAATATTTTTCCTGGGTTTTTACCCGTTGTAATTTTTCCTTAGAAACTTAATGGCCTTTACCAGCTAAGAGTTTTAACAAGTGTACACTATCTTCCTCACATGCTGCCCGTAAGGGAGAACAGTGGAGGTCATCCACATATTGCAATAAAGTGGACCCATGAGGAAAGTGACATCCTTCAGGTTGGCCTTCAGAATTTGGAAGTAAGAAGGGCTCTCAGTGAAGCGCTGGACATGACCGTCCAGGTACACTGTTGGCCTTCCCAAGTGAAAGCAAAAGGCCTTGACTGGCCTGGCTGACCTGATGTTAAAGAAGGCACTGCACAGATAAATTGCAGTGAAGAACTTACCATCAGTTGGGATTGAGGTCAGCAAAGTATGGGGGTTTGGGACACCTGAGTGGTGAGGTGCAACCATATTGTTTATTGCACAAAGGTCTTGAACAAATCTCTACTCACAGCCATTAAGTTTCTTTACTGGCATAATTGAAGTGTTAAAGAACTGTGGTACACGACATCACAAGATTTTGTGCCTTATAAGCTGCAGTGATGGATTTTATGACCAATAGATCTTCCTTGTTTGAGGTAATTTAAAGAGTCAGGAAGTTCCAGGATTGAGTCAGTTCGACCTGGTTTGTCAAATCCAAAAATTATTTTCCACTTTTGGGAGAAAGAAACTCCTGCATGATGTTTGTTTGCAGGCCAGGCACTCTGGTTCCTGCCTGTAATCCCGGCACTTTGGGAGACCAAGACAGGCAGATCATTTGAGGCTAGGAGTTCGAGACCAGCCTGGCCAACGTGGCAAAAACCCATCTCCATTAATATAAAAAATATTTTTTTAAAAGTATTGACCAAGAATGTGGACAGGAGCTGAATTAGTAAGAACAAAGGAGATCCTGTAAGAGACTGAGGCAGAAAAGGATAGACAGGACTACAAAGACATCCTGAGGTTTGTTGTAGACTGAACACTATTTGTATTTATGCTTCAAGGCAGAGGCTGGTTGAGGTTAGTGGAGCTGAACCCTGGAAGTGTGGCTCCAGTAACTATAAGGACAGTTAGGACCTCATTCTTGATATTAAGAGTTATTTCCCTAACATGATTGTGGGGAGGGATGAGAAGAATCCCTATAATTCTTTGGAGTCCATTATTGAGAGTTGATATGGTTTTAATGTCCTGCCCCAATTTCATGTTGAATTGTAATCCCCAGGCTGGGCGCAGTGGCTCATACCTGTAATCCCAAGACTCTGGGAGGCTGAGGCAGGTTGATTGTCTGGGCTCAGGAGTTTGAGACCAGTGTGGGCAACATGGCAAAACCCTGTCTCTACCAAAAATACAAAAAATCTAGCCAGGCATGGTTATGTGCGCCTGTGGTCCCAGCTACTCAGGAGACTGAGGTGGAAAGATTGCTTGACCCTGGGAGGCAGAGGTTGCAGTGAGCTGAGATTTTGCTACCACATTCCAACCTGAGTAACAGGCATCGAGAGAGAGAGAGAGAGGGGGAAGGAAGGAAGGAAGGAAGGAAGGAAGGAAGGAAGGAAGGAAGGAAGGAAGGAAGGAAGGAAGGAAGGAAGGAAGGAAGGAAGGAAGGAAGGAAGGAAGGGGAGAGAAAGAAAGAAAGAAAGAGAGAGAAAGAAAGAAAATTGCAATCTCTATCTAGTATTGGAGGTGGGGCCTGGTTTTGGATCACAGGGGTGGATGTCTCATGAATGGTTTAGCATCATCCTCTTGGTGCAGTCCTCATGTTTGCAAGTGAGTTCTCGAGAGATCTGGTTGTTTAAAAGTGTGTGGCACCTCCCCCATGCTCTCTTGCTGCTATTTCACCTTCCGCCATGAATGGGAGCTTCCTGAGTCCTCTCCAGAAGCAGATGCTGCATGTTTCTTGCACATCCTGCAGAACTGTGAGCCAATTAATCCTTTTTTCTTAAAAATTACACAGTCTTGGGTATTTATAGCAATTCAAGAACAGCCTAATAAAGGAATATATACCTTGAGGGTTTTGAGGGAGGGGTCTTTAACTCTCTTTAACTTACAGCAACCTCTCTTCCAGTGTCCAGTTTTTTACAATAATGGTAGGGGCCAGGAGGATTTTGTTTGGGGGCTTCCATTTGTTGCAGCTGGTGGTTGAGGATTTTGACAATTTTCTTTTCATTGGTATCCTCATGGAGCTGATCAGCCAACCTTACTAAATGTGGAGTGGACATGGCTCCCCATTCCATGTGGGTTATTTTAACAGGTTGGGAAAATTCTCAAGTTAGGCTATTCACAAACATAGAATTAAAGGCTACTCGGGTAGAATAAACATTTACAGAAGTCCAGAATTGTCCTTAAAGAAAATGCGGAGTCAATTGTAATAATTCTGAACTGGTTCATTTGGTTTTGGGTACAAGTTGAATCTTGTTCCAATCCATGGCTTTAAGGAAAACTTAAAGATAGCTCTGGGGTTCTTTAGATTGGGAGCTTGTTCCCAGTATTGGGGCATTTGTCTAGTTCAGATGGGATCCAGTTAGCTTTAGCCATCCAATGTTGGGCTTGGCCTTCATCAACAAGTGTATGAAGCAGCTGGTATAGATTGGGGAAGCCGAACTGATAGGCCTGGATTACCATGTTGAATTCATCAGCAAATCAGTTATGGTCTTCAGTGACTTTTGGGAATTCCTTGGCAATGGCTCCGAATTCAACCTTCGTCCAAGCCTTGGTCAAAGGAACATAGGAGACTTGGGATTTAGCTGGGTCATCAGTGCTCATAGGAAGGGCTGTAGGAAGGGGAGGAGGAGGAGGTTCCAGGGAGAAGAGAGTCTGGGCCTCTAAGGCTTTTTCTTTCTTTTTTTTTTTTTTTGGCCTCTTTTAATTGTTTACTTGTCTCAACTGGCTTTGAGACAGCGTTTTGTGTAGAGGTAATTTGTGAGTCCTAAATGTGCTTTGAAGCCTCAAGATGCCAATTGTAATATGTCTCCCATTCAGACTGACGCTATAGCCACGGTCTCCTAATTTAGTTCTCAGAAAAGTAAACTTCGAAAGTTTGATCTGCAAATGGCCATTGGAGCTCCAAATTATCCTTGGTGTAATTTGTCCATTGGTTTAAAAGGGTGCACAAGGGTGAGCCTGAATGTCTGGACATGGAGCTGACTGGGGTCCTGAAGGAGGGTTGCCCTGCATGCTTTAGAATTTGGGAATCCCACTCCCTTTCTTAATCTCTCAAAAGCAAAAAGAAAATCCTATTAGTCCTTTGAGGAAACTAAAACTCATGAACAAAGTGTTCTGCTTTCATAAGTATGCCTTTCACAGGATGCTTGTTTTGCTTGGTGGATGGCCTTTGCTCTAAGTTGTCTGACCTGTGACTACGAAGCCCTTGT